CTATGTTTTTATTCGTACTAGCACTTTCCATATATATACCTCGGGTATACGTGTTGCATCATTCCTATTCCACATGTGTTGCATGTTGGCTGATTCGATGAAGAAAGATTCAGTAATCAATCTCTCCCTTTATATCTCCATCTAATTATATTGGGTTTAAGTACAGTGGCTTTATCCCACCCTATTGTGTATTAATGGATGCATACCAATACTCGAGTTTTTTCTAGATTATTGATCTTATTTAGGTCTCTTATACTATATTTAGCTAAACTCATATGTTCCGCTAGTCTCACTGACACCCGATCGACTAGTTTCACCCATGTACTTCACCTCAATCACAGTCATTGCACTGAATTTGATAGATTAGATTATTTTGCTTAATCGCTTCTATCACGTCCTTAAGCCATCCGACAAAGCTTATCTATCAGTGAGTTTGTAGCTTTAAATGCCACACTAATTCCAGCCTTGTTGACAATCCTACATAAAGTTTCTCATGTATCTGTCTTCCTTATAGGGTAACACAATGGAGGTTGTCAACTCCTTTCTACTCATGTTGTCGTTAGTATTCATACTCGTGTTGCTGTTATTATTTGGTTTATGTGTGTTTGTACTAATTTCTTAATAAACTGCTGAGGATAGTTGTTAACTATTAGTGCTTCTTTCATGTGTTTCAGTTACTTGTTTACGTTCTTGGACTGACTAGTCAGTTTTCTAGCTCTATCATTTAGACATTTGAGTAATTCCGCCTTAACCAACACCGATTGGATGAGATGACTTGAAGTCTAGATACGTGTTGGAATGTGTCGGTTTTCTGTAAACAGTAGTATCCAAGTCACTATTTGTTCTTCGTTTTTATTGTGCAATCCAACATAGGTAATTCTCTTTGTTCATTTTCTACCTTGTATGTGAGGGAATTGTCGATATGTTCCGACTTTAACACAGTAAATGTGTCATCCACATATCGCCACTATATCTTAGGTGCAGGACTAAACGTTTGTAAAGTTATGTTTTCCCAACTGTTCATTAAAATATATGTTACGATCGCAGATATTGACTATCCCATTTCTACTCCTTCTGTTTGTCTGTCTGTTTTTTCCTCAAAACTGAAGACTGTGGAGGTCAGGCACAAGCGTATGTCTAACATGATCATATCAAACGATATGTTAGTTCTGTGAGTCAATATTTAGTTGACTTTTCATTGTCTCCGGGGCCATATTGATTGGTATTTTCTTATAAAGACCTGTTACATGTAAACTAACCAATTTTTCATCTTCTTCTATATGTAGGTCATTATGTCTTAGTTTCGACTCGTAAGAGTTTACTAGTCTATAATTTGAACGATTCCTTTCAATTGATCCAACAAATGCATTCCATCGACTTCGTCATCCGAGAATACTTTATTCTGGGAAAGTATCCGTCGTCAATCACTGACTCACTGCCTGTCGATTTTAGAATGTCAAGCATTCAAGTAATTTTCTGATCGATCGGTGAAACGCAGGACATGGGTTTCGTCCTTTTTTTTACGACTCGTCAGTTAGAGTTATGTGGATCAATAAAAAAGTTTCTGCGGAGACTCAAGTTTAAAATCAATTGTTTCAAGCACTTAGAAATGTGCTTTGCCTGTGATTTTAGTCTGTTTATTAGAAATATCATACAGTGAAACAGTAGCATTTGCTGGATAACGTTTCGGACACCTGTCATATGGAACGCTCTCCTTTCAGATGTTTCCAGGTAACCGTATAACATAGGAGACACTGAATTACGAGTAATATTTTGATCTGAAATTCAATTGCATGGTATATTTCCTGGATACTGATATGAATTATTTCAAGCTCCACATGGATACTTGAATAAAACCTGTAGAAATAAAACACTGAATTAAACTTTATTATATATTTATTATTCGGTCTGAAAGTGTTGTATTCATCCAGAGGACTCCTCATTAGAATTTACCACGAAATGATATCGGTTGGAGAACTACAAATCTTCGGACTGAAATTACTACCTACCCAGTGCATACTAAACAGTGACTTGCTTCGATATGAGATTTCGTGAAGTTCTAAGGCGAAGTCGTCATGGATAGGGCATACCAAGTCAGACGTTGTTTGAAGTTTCACAATACATCGTAAGTTGACTGAAGTAGGAAAATGTCAACCACTTTATTCCAATCCACTGGTTCGATAACGATAAAGTGCTCTCCACGAACCTCGAAGGTCCTGGATTCGTTCCCTGGCAGGCAGAAACCCTACGCTCATACGGAACCGAAGTCTACTGCTCCCTGGTTTTCAATGGTTCTCCTATTGACTTCATTTTGTGATGAATACCAACTTGAGATGAATAAATGAATCCCAACAAACCACCAAACTGAATTCATCATTAATTAGTATTTTTAAGGAGCAAGAGAATATAGGAAATAATTATTGCTAAGTATTCACTGATTTTCCAGTGATTCCTGATAACCGTTAAAACAAAACCGTTAGAAGGCCCCAGTCTTGCATAAACATTGTTACTGGTCTGAACATTTTTCAACTTGTCACTTTCACAGCATGACTAGTAGTTTATTTTTTTCCGCCCCATTGTAATGTAATTCACTGATTGGTTAATCTCTACACTATGTTAATGCCTCAATTTGAGGACAACGTCATATGTCATGTGAGTATAAACTCACGTGTTTTATGAATTAATTGATTATTGTTCTCGGAGGAATAAACTCTCCCATCCAGCTTCAGTCTTCTCCTCTATTCGCCCCAGGTTACAGTCGGTGGCAGTTGCGTACGTAGTTAGCTGTCAGTTCAGTGTACGTATCATATCCACCCGGAATACATAACAAAAACATCGTGATTGATTCTTACTTATTGATCACTAGTAAATGTTTATTTTTAGAGTATTAATATGTTTACAAGTAGACTTTTGATTATCTCTCGTTGTTTAGCTCCAGGAACTCCAGGAGTTTACAGTAATGTGACATTTGCCATAGACTGGATCTATTCAATTATTCGTACAGGGGAATAATTTCCATCATTGTACACTAAAATCATTCTGCTCGTTTTTTTGACAAAAAAATATTTAGGCTTTCCTGAAGTTAAATATTATTATTCAAGAAAGTCTGTCATTTTGATTGCATCAAAATAAAATGGATGCCTGATATGGGGATAGAGAGAAATGACCAATTCGAAGAACAACCCAATCAGAATCTACTTTATGTGCTCATTCCTATACTTAGACAGATAGACGGTGGATCAAACAGTCAATAAGATTATTTTCAACAGCGAACTATCCACATATATTAGATATATTTTTCTTTGTTTTTGACTTCGGTCTCTCGACCCCAGTGGTAACGTGCCACGGAACCTAAAGGTTGTAGGTCCGGTCCCTGAAGGGGTCGTGAGTGCGCACTGCTGAGGAGTCCCATACTAGGACGAAACAGCTGTCCAGTGTTCTCAGGTTTCTATTGTTCCTCCAACTAATGTCAGTCTACGATGAACACTAACTTGAAAGTATTTCTAAATCCCCACAACCCCCTCGAAATACAACTAAGAATTTGTTGAACACTCGATATCCGTGCACCGTAAGTTGCCATAGCCATAGCAGTTTCGAAATCATAATAATGTCTACATTAAAGATTTTTCATAGTATTGAGGAATAGTGGCTAGCAGGGGAATTCAGGATGTGCATTTCTCCCTGTTTTGTACTCGTCGGCTGGTCGTGTTGTTCCCATTAGGACTCCAACGCAGTACGAGTTCCGAATAGTTCGAGACGCACATCCTGGATTCCACTGCCAGCCATCAAATAAACTACAATTAAATAAATATCGAGGTAGGGGTCCGCACCGAACCCATCTGCCAACAGAAGTCAAGCAGTTCGACCCAGTATAGCGACAGGAAATCACAATACCAATAAACAATAGTTCAGTTTGGTTTAGCTGATGACAGTTCTCCTCCAGGTGAAGTTAAGGCATAACAGAAACCATCTGCAAAGTCTCACTACCAACTCCGAGGAATAACAACGAACCGTGCTGAAATGAAACAATAGTATTTCATGCATACTATCATGAGGTAAACAACCTACTTCCAGTGTATATATACATACACACGCACACACACAGAAAGACAAAAGAAATTGGAAAATATAACGTAGTACGTGATATTAAAATGGAAGTGTGGGGTTATGAGAAGTAAAGTGAAAAAATCCCTATAGTTCCTCTCTCCAATAGATTTTCAAGGATATAAAAGTAAACAACCTAAATATATAGTTATCGAAATCCGATAATATCTAAGGTGCTTTCACTAATATGCATACACACACGCATACATATACAAGTTTAAATGTATGATTCAATCTAAATTAAAATAAAGCGCGAAGAATAAAAGGTTCGAACAGTGGGGAAAAACAAAAAATTCGCACTCAGTTCATTAGAGAGAAAAGGCGAAACAGATGTATAACTCGGTAAAAAGATGTCCGCCATCAGACTGCAGTATTTACACAACACAAACTACTCCCTTATTACAATTTGTTTTATTCGTTATCTCACACAGCAATTCAATTAATTTATCGACTAAAATGTCATTCAACCAATCGACGTGCAGTTCACGTGACCAGATTCAAATCATGTCTGTACACATTCGTTAAACAAATAGTATTGTTGAAAGAACCAATGAAAAAGCAGAGAATGACATGTCTACTGGAAGACGATGATTGGTGTGTTTAGACCGGAAAGAGTGATATACACACATGTATATGAGAAAAGGAATGACGAAGCATTCTGATATAAACGCGCGAAATCTGATTCATGGACAGAACACCGGTAAATCAAGGCGAATTGTGTATGTGACAAAGTAACAAATTGATATTCTTCCTCAAAAAATTCTGAATTTTTTTGGAAATTGAAGAGCGCCTGGAGCGAAAGCAAGGGGAAACAGGTCATCACAGCCAATTTCCTTTTTTTAAAAATGAAATAAACACTCAACATTAATTCACCTATTATTTTGTACATCTGAGAGCTAAGAATTGGATTTCATTGTGGTATTATTTTCATTGGGTAGATTGGCAGTGGATATCTTGCCAGAATCATTATTATAGAAGCCGTTAGGAATGTGTACATCAAGCAAATTCGCATTTAACGCAGGATGATAAGTGGTAACAGGCAATCGCGTATCCAATAGTAGATTTCCATTAGCATCTTTAACTCGCAGACGTCCAGAACTGTAACGAGTTTCTTGGCGGCCATCAGGAAAAACAGTTTTTGTTGTACCATCTGGGTATATACGACACTACATAAAATAAGAGTTTACAATAAAAAACAACAGTGAGTCGAAAGTGGCAATGTATGTTTTATGTGAATAAAACGCCTGTATTGAAATGACCTCTACCACTGCCAGGTTTCAGTACTTTACCGAATTCTGGGGAAACATACAATGAAGAATTATAACCCCTGTGATGTAGACAGATAGGAACAACATAGAATGAAGTAACAACTGCGCATCAGGGGGTCAACAAGCGGGAGAATAAAGTACTTAAATATCTGAGGTGACAACAATAAAATATATGAAGACGTTTTTAGGAGACGAGGATGTACGACCAGTGTTGTCACCAGTATAGTGGATTCTGTGTCATATGGCCTTTAAACTGTAGACCTCGACCAAGAAGCCACGCTTATTCCATCATCATCCAACATAACATAACGATGAGACAAGAGTAAGTCGGTGGCGGGCATAACCCGTCCCCTAGCCACATGATTTTGTGAAGGTTTGAAACCTGATCACGGTACTTGCAAACATCACCCGGTACGCTGAAATGATACATTGATCCCACTAAATACCTAGACCAAGTGATGAAATACATAGATTTCAGCTAGCACTCAAAAGTAGAAAACATTAAATTGCTTACGTTCCAGTAACTAATCCACTCCTACATCATATCAATCACGACCCGAATAACTCAGTAGAAACATCACTAACTGTAGTCTTGGAGGTGACGTGGGTTGGATCCCTCAGCGGTGACACATTAGTTCCCTCTCGAGGTTGCAGATACACCTTGGTGACGAATGCTAACAAGCATAAGATGTAGATTGAGGAGGGCTTCTGGTCGATTACCTCTCCTCAACTTATTTCGTAAACCTTTCAACTTGGCAGATATGCATATTATCACCATAAAGAGCATTGCTGTACAGCTGCATAAAGAGGGTCAGTTTCCAGAAATATCGTCAGACACCACAGTTGATGCGATTCGGCAAGAATCTACTTACTACCTAACTTGTTTCACTAAGTAGAGTTAAAAATTTGTTAAGTGTCGCTCACAATCACATCAATATTAACTAACCTTAATTCCTGAACTAGAATGAATTTCTCGTTGCCCATTGGGTAATAAAATCTCCTTATCCCCATTACTAAGTCTTCGGCATACTTGTTCATTTATCAAACATTTCGATGGATTGGCTGGGATTGTCATGGAAAGTAATCCATTAGAAGAACCTGTTTTTACATTGGAATGAATAATTTCTTGGCGTCCACTATAGAATAACAGATGTGTGAAAAGAGAGAAGTATAAGAATGTGTGGTTGACATTATTATTACCATTATTATTATATTAGCAGTAAATATTAAGACCACAATTCGTGTCATAGATTAGCTGAGAACAAAAACTCAGCAATCATCGGCTTGAATCTACCTACAAATCAGATTTCCCTTTCAATCCAGTAACCAATACCAAAGGCTACCTCGAATGAGATTGTGAACCTTCATTGGCTCAGTTGGCTGGGACACGTGTTACGCAAGCTTAGTCAGCATTTCCCTTGTCGCATATTGTCGGCTGATGTAGGCCCACAGCAGGATAAGGTTACAAGCGGTCAGACTAAAACAGTCCCTGATTGTTGTTCTCATCTGCGGATTCGATTGCACGTGACAATAAAGAAAGGTGTTTGGAGATCCTGGATGGTGTGGCTCAGAATCGACCTCAATGAAGCTGAATCTCGTTGTAATTCTATTCTTCCTTGTTCTCTTTTTAACGACTCCCCACTAATTTGATCTCGGCCTCGAACCTCAATGAGGTCGTCAGTACGCACTCCACAGGAGTCCCATATTAGGATGAAACAGTTGCCCCCTACTTCCAGGATTTTATTGGTTTTCCAGACAGACGGATATTCATTAACAACTGCCTACACTCATTACTGAAGCTCAGATGGCCAGAAAGAATAAGCAACAAGGAACTATGGCTGTCTGGCAACGAACCAACCAAGAACCTATCACTCAAAAAATACACAAAAGGAAGTGGAGATGGATTTGATTGGACATACACTGAGAAGACGATTCGGGAACATCACGCGCTAGGCCAGGTACTCGAGCGGAACCCAGATGGGAAACGACGAGTTGGGCGTCCCAACTGAGGGTGACATGGAGGAGATGGTGTGAGGGAGAAATGAGAGCTTCTGGGCAGTCGTGGAGTCAGACTCCAAATATTGCAGAGAACAGAGTGGAATGGAGACGTGCTACAGAAGCCGTTTGTTCCACTAGGAACTCAAGGGACAAATGATATAATAATAATAATGATAATAATAATAATAATGATAGACAGACAAAATTAACGTAGAACCTTGCACACAAGTGCATCGGTCCAAGTCACCATACTTCACAGTAGCATACAAAGAATAGATGGATAGGAAAAGTGATATTAAGGTACATAAACTTGTGTGAGAGAATAAACAATTTGCAGATAAAAAGTTAGTGCGAATAGTTAGGCCTTAGAAGATGTCAAGGAGTGAATACATCTGCACGATTATCAATGATTTCCAGCTCTGTCACCAAGAATCCTCAACTACTGAATCCTATTATCTCGGGGACTCTGAGAAGGCAGTCTACATCTCCCCCACATGGCTCAGACCAAAAGCGGGAGACTTCACCGACTGGTGCCGAGCCCTGGTCAGGTCAACCTGAACCTTTTTCCAGCTCAATCCAACTTTCTGTAGCAATGTACGTCGAAGTAGGCAATGATTCGTCATGCGCAGTACATGTTTAAGCCATCTCAGTCAACTTAGGTTCACAACCTCATCTTTCGCCTGACCTCAACACTGTTCACGGGGTTCGAGCACAAATTATTGGACAAAACCATATTATTGTAGTCACCCTCCATTTCACACCTGATTTTTATAGTCCTGTCACCTCTTATTCTTTGTTTCTGTTGGTAGTAAAATTTTCCATATCTCTAGTATAGATGTTGCATCACTTCTATTCCACATGTGTTGCGTGTTGATTTGATGAACAAAGATTCAGTAATTAATCTCTCCCTCTCTCTCTACCTAATAATATAGGACTTAGGTACAGTGGCTTTATCCCACCCACCATATTGTGTGGTTGTGTGTTACTACACATGCATTGTAATAGCCGAGTTCTTTTTCTAGATTATTGATCATATTAGGGTCTGTCATTCTACATTTAGTTAAATTCCTATGTTTCGCCAATCAAACTGACCCTGATCGACTAGTATGACCTAGGTATTTGACAAAATCAACGTAAAACCTCTCAAATGAGTGCATCAGTTCAAGTCGTGACACTGATTTCAAAGTAGACGGTGTACTGAGGGAGAGGAAATATGAAAATAAAGGTTAGTCAAAACATTCAAGCTTTAAAGGCGAGTGAATAAATCTACGTCATTGTGACCGGTTTCCAAACATTTCACCAAGATTCTTCAACCGCTGAATGTTATAGTCTCAGGCCTCAGTTACGTAACCTATACTTCTCTAAACAGTCTAGACCAATAACCAAAGACTCTATGCACAGATGCCACCCTGAGCCTTCTCCCAACCAAATCATCATTGGAACATGCAGAATATACTTTTCGAGTTAGAAATGCCGTGGCTTGACCAATCCAATTTCTATCACACTAGTTTGACACTAACCAATTGCTTTACATGCATCAAACTAACACCATGCCATAATTTGTATGCCATCTGTAAGTTCATAAAACACCATCTCGTACCCAAATAAAGCATTAAAATGAGTTGAACACAACTCACTCTGCAAATAAAATTTCCTCAGTACCATTAGGAAAAGTTGTCTGAACTGTTCCATCAGCTGCATAATGATATATCTGTATAAGCCAAAAAATTGGATTGAATACATTTTACGTGTTAATCTCAGATAAACAAACAAGTAGTTACTATAGAAAACAGTGGTCATTGTATGACTAATTTTTGATATCAGAAGGAAATTTTATATAGCATTAAAAGAAAAGGTCCAGTGTACCACCTGAACAATGATTAATGACATACATCGCACTGTGTAGAAGAATTACAGGAAAGAGCTCGGTATAAGCATCATTTTCTCTCTATCTCTTAAGTGTAAATCTGGATAGGATAGATATCCTAGTCTATTGTTGACTGTTTTACTAATAATTCGTGAATTACGTCGCAATTTCAAACATTATTAACTGCACCGTAATATCAGTTGATTATTGCCAAGACGTTTAGCACAATGTGGATTGACAGTGTTATTTTCTTAATTATTAGATAGTGACTACAGGATAACTCGTACACACAAAACAGAGAGAAGATCGGTGGAGATTGTGTTCTAAAAAAGACTGGTGTAGTAGCCCAAAGCACATCCATGTACATGTATATGTAAGTGAGATATGACCTTGAACAGAATTAGAAGCACTAACATACCAAAAATGATCAACAACCAATCAGAGACTCGCCTTGGAACAAATGAGTGTCGGAATGAACCTATAGATATGGCATAAAACAGTTTAAAAACGTATAAGAAAATAAAGTATTGTAATTCATAAGAAATATACTTAGAACTTGACCGAATAGCATCATAAATTTTGACGCTGATTAAAAGCTTGACATTAAATATATACGGCGTATCAGAGTTTCCAGCTTCTGTCAATTCACGACATAGCTCGACTGTCACCCAATGGTTAACGCGTTCGTCGTAAAACCTGAAGGTCCTGAGTTCGACCCCTAGCCGCGTCGTGGGTGCGTGCTGCTGAGGAGTCCCATACTAGCAGGAAACAGCTGTCCATTGCTACCTGGTTTTCAATGGTTCCCGAACTGATGTCAGTCCATGATGAATACTACTTCTAAATTAAAAATCTCCATTCATACATATAGTGTATATTTGTGTAAGTCACAGTATGCTTGAATTAGCATAATTTCAACGTTTTGCACGGAAGTCTGGTCCGAGATTCTTCAAGGAAAATTTAAAATATCAAAGAAGTATAAAGAAATCCAAAGAATTAGGTTTAATCTTTTATCCAATCCTCTTCGCATAGCTTCCGTTTTTTGTAGAATACGTTTACTAATCATTCATTCTGGGTGATGACTGAAGGTGAAATGAAAATTTGCACCGCGTCCGGATTCGAACCAGCGACCACCGGGTTTCCGGCACGATGCTCTCTATCAACTGAGCTATTGATCATCCCGTATGAAATCGTATGCCTAGTGTGTATGTGTTACTACTCACAGATGACAATGCAGTTATTCGGTGAGTTTTATAACTACAATAGGGGATATGAGAATGATGTCAGTCATCTCGGTTGATATATACCGAGGAATGGTATTGAAGAAACTTCCTGATTTGTCAGATTACAGTGAAGATGAATGGTAGTAGTGATAAGGTTGGCAATAACAATAATAATAACAATGAGTCAGATCAATCCAGATTGTGTGTTGTTGCTGATTCAGAGATAATAAATTTGAGACTGGTGTAGAATGTAAATGTTAGAGTCACCCTATCTGCTTAATAAGGCATAGTTGACAAGATGCAGTTGATTGTACTCTATCTCATTTGTCCAGATGGTCTTGATTTGGCCATATATGTAGGGCATCGGCTGTCGATCACTCTTGGCATGACTTAAAAACCTTTTGTAGGATCTTGGTTTCGTCTAAGTCAATTTTATGTCCCATTTCTATGAAGTGTAGCATGATTGCCAACTTGTTTCCTAGCTACTTAACTTTTGTTGACGTTTTTAGAACCTGTTTTCGACATAGTCTACGCTGCTTCACTTTTACACTTACATGCCTGGTTGTTCCCCCAACATATACTATATTACAATCAACACATTTGAGTCAATGAACGCAGTTCTGTTGACTTTATTTGTGTACTGCGTCTTTAACTTTCATCACGTTAGAGAGCAGGTATTATTGTACAGTGTTCTCTGAGCTAGGTTGTTTAATCATGGAGCTTTCATTGTCTTGTCAGACGACATCGTCAGCACTAACTTCAGTATGAAGTGAGCCGTCAGTATTTTTGCGCGATTGATTTAGTAGCTTGCCCTGATGAACTGGTTTGTTATTGCTTGTTTCTTTTGATGGTTTTGTCATTGATTGCATAGTGTTCCTTTTTGGTGTTCTTCTGCTTGACCTCAGACCTTTCTGCTATGTCCTTTCCACCGCTTTTTATATCCCTAAGATTCCACCCCTCATAGTTACTCAGTTCCTAGGTAATTGGAAAGGCGGTAGGATAACAAAAAGTATGTGGTAACGTCAAAACATACAAAGTGACTCAGTTTATAAACGTTCACAATGACCTTGACTACTTCTAGATTGGAACGTCCTATTGATTCTTGTTTCTTCAACCAACCTGGTAATTTCTCTTTGGTTCACATGTGCTTTCTCGAAACTTCAGAGGAACATGATTGGTAGTAAAAGATTTCAGGGATTTACGGCTTCTTATAAAGATTTCGTCAATCTTACTATACACTATAGCAGTATGGTATTCGTCGCCCGAAAATAGACAGACACTTCTCTTAGAGAATAGCCAAAAGTGGAAATCATCATTCAATGTCATTCGCCGTTGAGGTAGACTTATTTTCGTTTCAAATCTTGATTGGTCAAATTAATTTTACTCAACAAATTTGTCTTTCACCTGATTGGTGATCTAGTGGCTTCATTTTCTGAGTAACAGCTGTATATAAATACTATGTTTTTTGTTAAACAAAATCGTTTTCCTTAAGTCAGTCACAGGCCCATCTTTTATCTTCTGATCTTCGCGGTTCAGTGAAGTATCAGGTGTAGGAGAGAACGGTCGCATTACTCGTATTCACTGCAGGTATCTTGTAGAGATTATTATTAGAACCCATGTCCCACTCCGACTCAGTCACACCAACTTTATATCATAGTTGTTGAACATTCTTATTTTTTCCGAGGTCTTTTTACGATATAAGGGAATTCAGCGTATTGATCCAGTCCTTAGGAGAGGGTTTCCGTACATCCTTAATTTCTTTTGAAAAATTCCTTTTATGGAATCTTCGGGATAATTGTTTGCTTCCAGAGTCCAGTAAACTGACTTTATCTTCTTCCGTTGTAACGAGACGGTTAGCTTGATTGATCAGATCGTTACCTCATTTATGACGAATGGATGGGAGGATTGATAATCTAGTTATCTGCCAGAATGTGTTGATTTTCTCGAAGGGTTTATCATTGATTTCCTCCCACCATACAGTCCATAAAGGCTAATTTTGATATGTTGGATTCAACTTCCATACTAGAAGTAATACTTCCGTACTAACTACTTATACGTTGGGAAAGCTAGTTCAGACTGTTGCGTTTAATTATAACAAACGTATCGTCTACACAACTTAACCAAATTCTTGCTCATGGCTTCAGATATTGTTATAGTGTGCAGTACACGACTGACAAAATCTTCATAAGAAGTCATACACTCCTGAAACCTTTCACAACCAATCGTTTTGTTTCGACATTTCAGGAAAAAGCATGTAAACCAATGTGGAAATACCACATTTGTGAAAGAGGCGAAAGTCAATTGGTTATGTTATTCTAGAAAAATGTAGAAATAGTCAAGCCCATTGTAAATATGCATATAAACTGTTATATTTTACACAAATATTTCGATCTTGCAATATATCTTGTATTATCTTACACAGGAAATGACCAATTATGAAGGGTGGAATCTGAAAGTTATTGTTCAACTGTCCAACGCTATGAAGGGGTGATAGAAACAGCAGCATTGAATATTACTGAGAAGTTCAATTAAATGCTGTATGACATTCAACCAGTATCTGCATCCATAAGTGCTCAGATTTGGAAAAAGACTCCCAGTAATTCCTTGAATGATGGACATAATGAAATTGAAAATGAGTTGAAAAAACCTGATAATGTCAGTAAAAACCACGAAGTACTTGTCAAGAGTTTGTAAGATGATGCAACATGTTTAGTGAGACCGACACACTCTAAAACTGTACCTCATACTAAATGCTCAAAGAGGACTAGTGCAAGCCCAAAACACCAACTTCATCAGTTACCCACAGACTCAAAGAGGTTCAAAATCCCTTTACACACATCAAATCTGATAGTTCTCTTGCGTGATGGTGGTTTATTTTATCAAAAACAATTTATGTTCACATGAATGAGTGGACACCAAGATCGTTTGCAAGCCAGACATTACATTTACTAGTCAGTAGGCAACTGAAAACTCCCGAATCCATAGGTCACTCACAGTGCATTAGGCAATCAGAAGCATATCGTCGGGGTAGTAGTCTACCGTAGTGGTGACTATGGCAATTTATTGCATAATGGAGTACCTTGTCAATCAGATCAAATAATCCTAGATTACCCTGGCTTAAAATGGGTAAGAGATCTCAGGGTGTCATTTACAAGACTGAATCTTGGTTGCATCCAGAAACTAAAAGAATATGGCATCACTACCTGCTCAAATGAGTCAATCCATGCTTCAAAGGATAGGTTGGCAAACTCGAAGCAAATTACAGAAAACTCTATTGATCTGATGACTAGCAGAGAAATCTGAGACGCGCGTTCCGTCCTATTCGGGACTTGTCAGCTGGATGTACCTGTACCCAAGTGAGCGAGCAACGGGAAATTACAAAAAGTGTAACCCATGGCACAAAAGGTGGCTATCGCGCTTCAGTGGCTTGGTGGATAGCGCTCTGGCATTTGAAACGAGGGATACTGGGTTCGAGCCTCAATAGGAACAACATCACTCGCTGGGGTGTAGGTATACCCAGCTGACGAGCCCCAAATAGCACGAAACGTGCGTCCTGAACTCCTCTTCTAGTCACCAAGATCATATAACACCATAAATATCTTACAGTACCGAGGCATCCGCATTGGAGTCCATCTACCAACAGAGGTCGAACTATTCAACCCTGTATAGCAACGGGAATTACAAATATCATTACAACTATAGAAGAGTAATCTAAATGACAATGCAAATGACAAATGGAACTCCAGAAATACAGCAATTCCGACCCTGGAAGTGTACAAGATTGTTGCTGATGAACATATCAGTTGTTCGAGTGCTTACTAAAGCCAAAGTGAAATTTCTTCGTTTAGGTTGGCAATTTGTGTAACCGCTTCCTTCAACGCTAAAGTTGCTAAGGCAAAAAAGCATATATCCAATCACTATGAGGACATAACAGCCAGGATGTTCAGATTCAACTCCTTTTTGAGCTGGGATTTTAGTAGACAAAAATTTTCATTTCACATCAAGAGCAGTTATCAGTGCTTGAATACTTCAAACGGAAGTTGAGTACTGACAGTTATCTCTAGTATTGACAGTGTGACGTAAAACACAAGATCGGAGAACAACTGAGTCTGAATTTATTGTCAGTGACAAGAAAGCATAAAAAAATATCATCGAAGTGACTGGCAGAATAATACGGAATCCGAGGACGCTGTTAGCACGACTAAACACCCAAACTAAATACAAATAGTGACTGTTCTCCCTCAGAACCTGTGGCTGACAAAAATATGTTTTTGAGATGAATCGGGACTTTAATTAAGAAGTAGTATTCATCATGAACTGATTATCAGTTGGGGCACCATTGAAAGTCTGGGGGCACTGGACAGCTGTTTCCTCCTAGTATGGAACTCCTCAACAGTACGCACCCACGACCCGGCTAGGAACCAAACTCAGGATCTTCAGGTTTCACGGCGAACGCGTTAACCATTCAGCCACTGGGTCGGTTTTCAGTGGTTCACAATTTTCAACTTCTGTCACTTCATGATATAGTGTGACTATCACCCAAGTTCTTCAGTTAGCATCCTCTTCACTTGCAACGGGTTGACCCTACAGGTCACGGCTTCCCACTAGAGCTTCCTGATATCCATCTGGATATCCCCATTCATCTCAAGAATACATTACTGTATAGTGCTCATTAGTGACATGCTTCCAGATGGATATCAGGAAGGTGTAATGAGAAACCGTGACCTGTGGGGTAAACCAGTCGGAAGTGAAGCGGATGCTAACTGAAGAATTTGGGTGATAGTCACACTATATCATGAATTGACAGAAGTTGAAAATTGTGAACCACTGAAAACCGACCCAGTGGCTGAATGGTTAACGCGTTCGCCGTGAAACCTGAAGATCCTGAGTTTGGTTCCTAGCCGGGTCGTGGGTGCGTACTGTTGAGGAGTTCCATACTAGGAGGAAACAGCTGTTCAGTGCCCCCAGGCTTTCAATGGTGCCCCAACTGATAATCAGTTCATGATGATTATTTACAAAAATATATCTTTTATATACGGTTTACATCAGCATATGAAACCACCAGGTGAGAAGCTGAACAGCTTATTTTGATTAGTCAACTGATGGATAACATCGTCCAATCAAGTTTCGCCCGCCCCACAACGACATGAAACAAAAATATAAATGCAATGACTTCTGCCTTACCGGCTGATGACTTCAAATGTTGATTACTATTTCCTATCAATAATATATGAAATAGTTTGATTTATGAGACAAAAAAATCGATACACTTACTACACGACCATCTGGTAAAGTCCGTTTAATATCTCCATTGAATAACGAAACAATCACAGTGGTGGCATCAGGAAAAATCTCTTTCACAGAGCCATTAGCATATGATACAACTACAGCACCATTCGAATAGGTTTGTTCAATCTTTGATAAATAAAATCAACAGAAAATTTTTCAAAAAAAAGCTTTAGGGGAAAAGCAACACTTGAAGATAAGCACAGTATAAAACAGTATCATCAAATTAAACAGTACACAGTTTTAGTATCTTGAAATAATGCCATCAGATTTAAATCAAAATAAAAATGTTATCTGGACTTGTGACTGTTGAACTGCCCAATGCAGAATTCATCTCTCCAGCCATGTGACCTGAACTTAGGCATTCTCTCTCTCTGTCTCTCTCTCTTTTCTTCAGATTAGTCTACTGAGTTTGGATAGTTAAATCTTGTGTAACAATCTGGTTAAGTCTCGTTTTTTGATTACACCAATTTAAGTTGATTTAATCTAAGAGTTGAGGCTCATTGCCTTAAGAAGTGAATTCCAATCAATAAGTCACAGAGTTCAAACCCAGCCCCACCTAACTAGGTTTAGGCGGCTAGGCAGTATTATTCAACAGCCCTTACACAAGAGGTGCTTTGCCTGTTGTCACCTACTGCACGAGTGTGCACAAGGGCAGACAGATAGATAGACGAAATCAACGTGGAGCCTCGCACATACTGCATCACCTCAAGTTGCCACACTTCACAGTAGTATACGAAGAACAAGTGTATAGAAAAAGGAGTGATATTAAGGTAGATAAAATTGTGTGAGGAAATAAACAATTTGAAGATAAAGGTTAGTGCAAATATTCAAGCCTTAGGAGGTGTCATCATTGTAATCGATTATCAGCCATGTCACCAAGTGCCCTCAACCACTAATTTATTCCTATCGTCTACATTTCCCCCATACAACTCAGACTAACAATCAGGGACTTCAACGACTAATGTTGCCACTTTGAGCTCTTTTCCAACCTAATCGAAGTCTAAATAATGGAAAATTGAAAGGAATAGTGAATCACTGATCAGAGTCTTCAATACTGAATCTATACAGGATGGATGCACATCTGACTGTATATTTTATTCTCCATTCGAAAGAACTGAATAACCCGATGAGAAAGTAGAGAAGAAAATAAGGCATAGTATTACAACATTATCAGACTACAAAATAAGTTGTATAAACTACGATCAAGTTTTAACCGAGTAGTATCGCAATTTTGATTACTCCCCATCAAGAAGCTCAGACTAGGCTTTAGCGCGAAACAATGTCGGATTATTTTATTTCAAACGCGCTATGACTTAAAGAAATATACACTACACTATCGGAGAGATAATGATGATAATTTACTTGGTCATGGCTAGCAGAGGAATCCAGGACGCGTGTTTCCTCCTAGTTGGGGCTCACCAACTAAATGTACCTGCACCCCAGTGGAGAGTGATGTTGTCCCCACTGGACTCGAACCTCGTATCCAAAGCGCTATGCACTCGGTCTCCAGAGGTCGAAGAAACTTGACCCAGTAAAACAACGAAGAACTACAAGCACATTAACAAATAGTAATAACTAACACTAGTTGTACAAAAGGTGGCCATCGTGCCACAGTGACATGGTGGATAACGCTTTAGTATTTGGAGCGATGGGTACTAGGTTAGAGTTTCAGTGGGAACATCACTCCGCACTGAGGTGCAGTACACCCAGCTGACAAGACCTAAATAGGACACCACGCATGTCCTGGATTCCTCTGCTAGCCACAACCAACTTAATTACCATAATTAACATTCAGGCAATATCGAGGCATCTGCATAGGAGCACATATGCCAATAGAGGTCGAACGATTCGATCCAATAAAAACAACCAAGAATTACAAGTATATCAATAAATAGTAATAACATTATCACGTGTTCATAGAAGCCAACATCTGGCTGCTGTTTACAGCGAACTTGAAATATCTCATTTTAAAGGTAAATTCCTCATTAGGATGGACAGACAGACGTATCAACGTAGAACTTGTCATCGAAGTAAATCGGCTCACATAATCATCATCATCATTATCAACATAGGACCAGGCATTACTGCGTAACGGTCCGAGTTGCCACACCTCATATCAGCACATCAAGTAAAAAGGTAGTGAGGTGAAGGATGAAGATAAGTGAATGCAGTCAAAAGAAATATAAAGTACGAGAAGAAAGGAAAGAGGAGTGACAAAATAGTGAGATTCGGTATAGCGTTGTTAAGATGAGGATAATGTGTGTATACATCTGCGCCACTGACTTCGGTTCTGAGCCATATCACCTAGGGTCTCCAACCACTGGTTCCTCTTGTCCCGTGGACCCCAACCACCTAGTCTGCATCGTCCTACATGGCTTAAACCAACAGTCAGAGACTTCATACATTGGTGCCATGTTTTAGTCTGGCCACCTCGGGCCTTTTTCCAGCCTGAACCCACCTCAGCCAACATTGTGTGACGAGGCAATCGGTGACTAGGCATACGTAGTACGTGTCCCAACCATCTCAGTCGATGAAGGTTCACAACCTCGTCGACTGACTTACCTCTTCTCCCTAAAACTCTACACCTAACTTCTGCATTACTCACATGGTGACACCACGGAATACGTCCTATACTACGAAGGCAACGGTGGTCAAACACCTGAAGCCTTTTGTATCTTCCACTTTCAATGGCCATGTTTCACAGCCATACAGTAGAACAGAGCGGACTGCTGTGCAGTACACGCGACCCTTAATAGACAAACGAATATCACGGCGGCGCCATAGGTGGCGCAAATTGGCAAAAGCCAATCGAGCCTTTTGTATCCGTGCAGAAATCTCATCGGCAACTAACCCACCGGGTTGATCCTACTTCCCAGGTAAGTGAAGTGGTCAACACACTCAACCACTTCACTCTCTATTGTTAACCGCGGTACCGCTGAAGACCAGTCCTGGAGCAAAAATTTGCATTTGGGTGGTGAAAATCGCATCCCAAACATTCTCAAATTCCCACTCAAAGTGTTCAGAAGACTCTGCATCTTGTCAGCGTCTTCACCTAACAGGACTATGTCATCTGCATATTCTAGATCTAAAGAAAATTCACCTGTGATTCGGTCAACGTCTTTGTAATTAGGTGACGAGAGGGAAACCTCCATAAGAATATCTATGATAAAATTAAATAAGAATGGGGATAGTGGGCATCCTTGACGGACACCACTTGATGAGTATAGCTCCCTGGACAACTCACCATAGGCTCTAACATGCCCACAAGTGTTCGAGTAGAGAGCTTTCAATAAGGTGATGTACTTACTAGGCACGCCTTTCAGTGACAGACACTGCCATAAGACTTCTCGATCAACGGAGTCAAATGCCGCCTTCAGGTCGAGAAATACAGCTATTGTCGGGCGTCTGTAAGCATGCCTATGTTCCAGGACCTGGCGCAGTGTGAATATTTGGTCGATACATCCACGGCCAGGTCTAAAGCCTGCCTGGTTTTCTCGGGCTTGCTGTTCCCGAGCTCCACTCAGGCGTCGGAGAATTATAGAACTTAGGATCTTAGACACTATGTTTGTCAGGCTGATTCCTCTGTGGTTATCACAAGAGGACTTCTCGCCTTTCTTGAAGACTGGGATGATGAGTGACTTAGACCAGTCGGAGGGGATCGTATTTGATTCCCATATACTGGCTAACACTTCCGTTAGCCTGACTAACTACCACCATTCTTGTATACCTCAGCAGGTAGTCCGTCTGGTCCTGCTGCCCTTCCCCGTTTCAGGCTACCTACCGCTTTCTCAACTTCTTCTAGTGTTGGGGGACCTGTCTCTATGTCCCATTCAGGGTCCGACTGGATAGCGGGCAGCGCAATGGTGGCTGGAGGCCAGTTAAACTGTTCCTCAAAGTGTTCTGCCCATCGTCCCAGTCGCCTTCCCTGCGAGTGAATCGCCGATCCGTCCTTCTCCGCTATAACCTCACTAACTGTTGTTGACCATTTCCCCCCAGTCTCCTTAATAAGTCTAAATAACTGTCTACTGTTACCGATCGCCGCTGCCTTTTCCATCTCTTTAGCCTTTGCTGCCCACCACTGTTCACGATCGTTGCGCAGACTTTTCGTCAGTTTATTTTTAAGTTGCGCTCGCTCTTCATTGTACTCAGAGCCTGCAGGGATGCATTCACGTGCATCCATTAGTTTGGAAGAAGCTGCTGATATCCACTGGCTCTTTTTAGCCATTATCTTGGAGTCGGCTACAGTCTCCAGTGCTGCTTTTACAGTAGACTGAAGATGGCACCAAGCTTCTTCTGGATGAGTGACAGTCTTTTGTTCCGATAACTGCCTAGCCAACTTCTCACTGAACACGGCTTTGGTGTTTTCGTTGTCCAGCAGAACTCGTAGTGGTTTTGTTGCCAAATTTTTTCTACGTCCATTGAGACGCAGGCATATACGTGCTCGGACCAACGCATGATCGCTGTCCAAACACGTACTCCAGAAGGAGCGGCAGTCTTCCACCGATCCTCTCCAGCGATGACTAATAGCAATGTGGTCTATCTGTGTCCATCGCTGAGTCGAGCTCGGTGGACGCCAGGTCAGACAGTGCCTTTCTTTATGTCTGAAATTTGTGCTGGCTAAAAATAGGCGGTTATCTGAGCATAGTTGTAATAGGCGATCACCGTTATCTGTACGTTCAGCTGGGATTCCGAAAGTGCCACCTAAGTGCCTTTCTGCCTCACTCAGTCTACCCACCTGTGCGTTGAGGTCACCTGCAACAACCACTACGTCCGAACGTTTGGCTTTCGAGAGGAGGTTAGACAGTTTATGGTAGAACTCGTCCTTCACTTCATCCGAACTACAGTCAGTGGGTGCGTAAGCAGAGATTACAAAGAGACAACGGCGAGTCTCACTATTCCTTTTAGTTCTCACTGTGCCGTTCAGCCTCATAGCGCAGAGGCGACTATCAACTGGGATCCAGTCTAGTAGTGAGTTTTCTGCCCTGGTGCTTAATGCTATACCTACACCTGCAAGACCACGAGAGCTAGCTATCGAATCTCCAGAAACTCGAAGGGTGAATTTTGCAGATTCACCAGATTGGTCAGGAGAGGTCAGGTGAATAACCACACTTGGGTCCTGTATGCGT